CGGGGGCCGCCCGGAGCAGGCAAGGGGACGCAGGTGAGTGTCAGGCCCGGGCTGGGCGGCGACGCGGAGGGACGCCAAGGTCAGGGCGCCCGGAGGTCCGGGAGCCTTCTCGCCCCGGAGCCCTCGCGCCCGAGAGCCCGCCCAGGCTGAGACCTGGAGGCGCTGGCCGGCGTCTCAGGCCCTGGTGCGGCGTTTGGAGATCGAGTTAGGACTGAAGTGTGGAGGGTTCCAGACTCGAAGTGTGTTCGGGGGTCTGAGGGCTGATTAGGAGGTTAGAGACCGAGAGGTGTGGGGGTAGGGGGAGCCCGGGCTGAGGCTTTTGAGTTCCAGGCCGAGTGCAGTCAGGAGCTTCGTGGCCCAAGTTCTCCGCGAGTTGGGGATGAAGCGTGCGGAATCGGGCACCAGGGTAGGGGTTCCTTGGTAGTTACTGATGACTGGGGTGGAGGGGCACCTCCGGCACGTGGGGCAGAGCGGAGCTGGCTGCGCCGGTTACGGTGGACCTGGGAGGGAACCAAGGCTTTCCCTGTGCCTTTGCAGGCTGGAGGTGGGTGTGCAGGACCGGTTTATAGCTTGGAGAGCCAGGTGTTCCCGGTTAGGACACTGAGCCTCACCTATCAGTAGTGTCTAGGTTAAGAACGAGATATGATTAAGGGGCCTTCTGCTTAGAGCCGGAATCCGAGGCCACTGAGGGCTGAGCAGCTCAGGGTGACTCAGGTAGTTTTAGGCGAGAAGGAACTTAAACATTTAACTTTCTTGTCAACAGGTTAGAAAACAGGCCCCAAAACTTCAAGCGTTTTTATCTAGTTAGCAAAATTGGATTCGTGGAGCCTGGGGCCTCAGGAGCCACGGGGCCCGGAATTACCTTCCACCCTAGAGACTACAGGCATCTCACTTGGCATCTGGGCCCCTTGAGATCTGAAACGTCATGGGGCCATAGATCAGAGCTGGGATTTATGGTCTCGTTTAGAATTTGAAAGCCCATGCACTGGTGTATCAGTGTCCCCTTTTCTGTCCAGAGTCTGGCATTGGGTTCTCAATGAGGGAGTTCCTGGAAGTTGGGACACCCGAGTGGACAGGGATCTGGGGACTGCCCCGTGCCCACTCTTCTCTTCCTGGCACTTGCCCAGTTTAAAAGTCTTGCAGCAGACCAGCTGACTCACCCCTGGGACCCCCATGGACTGGCCGCCTTGCTTGGCCCTTGATGCCACTCGTGGAGGTGGGTGAGTGACACACACGCGTGAGTGATCAGGAGAGGGAGTCTGGAAGGCCCTCCGTTCCTCCGATATTGCCTTC